CATTCTCTTGGTCATCTACTAAGTATATATTCCCTCGTTTGGTCATCTATGAATTATATATTCCTTCCTTTGATCATCTTGGTTTAAATTCCAAGTTAGTTGGTAATTCCAATTGAGATGCAATTTTTGTAGAGCCATAATCCACAAGCACTAGACATGGTTGTTCTCTTAGTCAACCTATTTGATACTCTAGTCAATTCTTTCGATAGTTGTTTGAGGCCATGCCATTTATCCTTAAAAGACCATAGTTATCCATAATATTAGCTCTTAATGCATTTACTAGAGAGCCTCATTTCCTTGCTCCATTTTGTTATTGATTTGATGAGTTATGAGATTGTAAATTATTAGTACGAAGCCTGCTTTGATTGATTGGTGCTTGAATTTTGACATTTTGTACAACTTCCAATTTAATGGCTTGGTTCTTCACAATAAAAACATAATTCCTTCTGTTCTAATATTTGTCATGTCTAGGATATCAATGATCCTTGCAAGACATCAATCTCCATTGGCATTGGTTGTTGTGCCATAGTATTAGATAGCGGCATACGACTTTACGCTATAGGTCGTGCTCCATGGTTTCTAAAATCTATAGCATCAACCTTCTTTGTACTCTCAATTGCATCCTCAAATATTTGTGGATTCTTTAATTCCACCTTTTACTAGACCACAAATTTCAATCCTCATATAAATTGATCTATCATCTTTGTCTCTAAAACATTGTCAATTTGAAGACATAGAGACTTGAATTAGGAGATATAGTCCTATATTGACCTGAATTGTACAAGATTTGCCAACTAATTGCTTGCTATCTTTTGTGCATTGATAAGATAAAATTGACTCTTTAACTCGGTTTTATACTCCTCTCAGTCACAAAATCCTCCTTGAATTCTATAACTTTGAGTTTGATATTGCCACCAAATGGTTGTCTCATCTCTCAAATAATTGGCTCCATACATAATTTCTTTGATGGTATTTGCCTTAGATAGTTGGACGTATTATTGCATGCTGAAGAGCCATTGGCATATATCTTCTTGTCTTGAAGTCACAGAGTATGTACCAAGCTTACTCAATTTCACCCTAATAAATGTCAACTTCTTTATTCTAGACACTTTTATTTGCTCTTATAGAGTAACTATCTACCTTAGTAGGTGTTGTATCTGAGTCTCCATTTGAGATTGCTCCCACATATCTTTCATACTGCAATTTTCTTGCTAGACTATGATATTATAATGCCTTCTCTTTTTTTAGCTAATTTCTTAAGAGTAGCTCGTAATAGCCTCAAAATAGTACCTAATGTGACTACAACATTCAACCTCCAATTAAGTAATGGCTGTTAATATGCTACCAAAGAATAGACTAATACTCACTCTAATACCAATGAAATGGAACTAAATTCCTTCCAAGATCTAAGACCCTTCTAATGCACAGCAATATACATCCCATCACAATGTAAGACAAAGCAAACTGAAACAAAAGAAAATATGATAGAGATGAACAAGAAAATGTAAAATCAAACTTTACAAAAAGAAAAATCTAAAGCTATACCTAACCAGATATCCAAATGGCCTTGGCCAATCTTATATATATTTTGTCCAACTATTCTAGAATCTTCTATAATATTTCTAATAGTGGATCTTATCTAAATAATCATCCTAAGCTCTTTCTAGAATATTCTATGGTAGATCCTACATAGTCCACTAACCTAATCCCAAATTCTAGAATCTTCTATAAACTTCTCAAACATGGCTTCAACTACCTATTCGTATGCATCAATAATATAAATGTCTTATCTGTATTCCATTACAAAATTCCCCTAATGAGCTTGCTTTTGGCATTGTCAATAAAAAAAAAATTGATGTTATTTTTTTAACTCATATCAAAATTAATTGATAAGGATTTTGTCATTCTAATTTATATCCGAAGCAAGATTTTATAATTTTGCAACATATATAGTAGCTGAATGTATTTCTTATCATAAAGATACAAATTTAGTCTTTATTATACTTTTTTGAATATTTTTTTAAAAAATGGCCATAAACACTTTTAAGAATGAATTCAGATCATAGAAAAGATATGAATCTTTTTCTATCAAAGGTACAAATTAAAAGAGAGTACTTCCAAAAAAAATACACCCCTGAATTTAACTTTAGTAAATCCATCAAAATATTACAAAAGATACAATCTTAGATAGAGCTTTACTTATTGTAAAAATCCTAAAAATTTTGATCTTATTCCATTAAAATTTTCTAGTATACTTATCATTGCTTCTCTCATACTTAGAGTAATAAGACTTCTTAGATTTAGTTATGAACTTGATTTACTTATTTCTTTCAATTGCACAACTTCTTCATGTAGACTTTGATTTTTATTGTTAACCTCTTCTGTAGCTGTCAGAATACTACCTCCATGGTTTATGTTAGGGATACGTGAGATTTTCACCTTCAAAGTATTGACAACCTCATCAAGATTTGTAATAGTTGCAAATCTATTCTTACTTCTACCAAGAATAGCATCTATGATCTCTTCCTCTATACATAATTCAAAGAAATTTAAAAGTCAAATTAAAAGAAAGTAATCTACAATTCCTAATATCAAATGAAAGTTTCGACAAATAGAGAGGTAGTCCACTTTCTTTAAAGAAAACAATCAATGTTAGAAAACTAAAGATGAATTTAAAGTTGGATAGTCCATAACCTTTAAAATACAACAATAGAAGTAAAATAATCTATTCACTTTTAACACAAAACAAAGACATTGAGTTAGCACTCTTGTCAAACTATGAAGGACATAAATCTCATAGAACTAAAAGATCAATACATTCTTGTGTCACTAAAAAAGACTAAAAAATTGCTCAAAAATGGTATAATATTAAATTTAAATGCTATTGTCAAAGATAAGAGGAGTAAAAAGTCTTAAAATAAGATAACATCAAATCTACTTATATTTATCTTCTACCTAATACTTTTTATTTGTATAAATATGTATGTCCATGATACTAAGTAGTTTAAGCATTTGTTGTAATTAATAGTTTTAACAAAGTTATATCATTTTATGTTTAATAATATTAATCTTATATTTGATTATTAGTAGCAATAAACTTAGTTAATATTTAAAAATCAATATCAGCTATCTTGTTTCTAAAAAAAAATTCTTACAATCTTTTAAGTAATTAATTATTAAGTATGGAAACTTAAATAAATAAATAAATAGTAAAATTATTACTATTTTTATCTTTAAAAAGTATTTTCTATTAATTTTAAGACCAAAAAAAATTATATAATATTTCTTCTTTTTCATTCTAATTGAAATTTTATGTAGGTAATTAAAATCTAATAATATATATCAAAAAATATATTTTTTCTTATTATAGACTTTATAATTTTTTATAATTAATTCATTTCTATTCTTATTTTAGATTTTTCTTTATAAGTAATTATTTTCTTTTTGAATTTCTAAAAACTTTAAAATTCATCTATAAATATTATACAAATGAAATCAAAATTATTTCATCTTTTTTTAAAATTACAATTTTTACCTATTAAATATTAAAATAAAATTTTAAAATATAAGTATAGAAAAAATTATACTTGTCTATATGTATATATAGATATATATAGATATATATATAATCAAATTTTAAGAAAATATTAAATTGATCCAATTTTTTACTAAATTGACCTATCCATGATAAAATATATATATATATATATATATATATATATATATTAATAATGATCAATGTGGTTGGTTTTCATTGGTTTTGGATCCTATACTAGAGAAATAAATGTAGAGGTCATTTCCTTTTTCATGGAGGTTAGGATAGGTGGATCAATTTAGTAAAAACCTGAATTTGTGTAACATTTCCTAAATTTCAGCTCCACAAACCTTTGAACCTAATTGTATTTAGTTGTTTTTACATTTTTAAAGACTATGTACACAAGTCGTTAGCATAATATAAGCACACATTGAAAAACCCAAAAAGCCATCAACAAAAATTGAGCAATTAACATTTTTTAACACCTTGTCAAACAAGCTAATGTTCCAACACACACACAGTTTTATTCATTACTCTTATAGCTGCCATGAATAAAGTTATGTTCGCTTAGATATTACATCCTACAACAAATTCCGAGCCATGGTAGCAAACAATACATGGCCTCTCTCTGCCATTGCGTCATTGCTTTTACCACCTTCTTGCAAGCCTTATACTGTCACAAATATAGAAGAGGAGCATAATATTGTAGCCACCGTGTAGATTTTCAGTTTCAGAATACAAATTAGGAGGTTTTAGCGGATAAAAGCGCAGAATCGCTGTATGCTTGTCTAGATTTCGACGACAACTGACGAGAGTTTTCAATGAGATCCAAGAGCCCAGATGATCGCATGTCCGAGAGGGTGTCGACATCTTGCAGGATCCAGACATGCCGTCCGATCGAGGTTGGTTTTGAGCTTCGCGGCGAATCGAGAAGAGCGATCCGGAGGTTGCGATGGTCGTAACAGGGATCGATGAATTCGGATTTCTAGATGCAGCGAAAGATCAGTGTCGCGAGGGGAATCGTGAACGGGGAGCTGCGGCACAGAAAAGGCGGTGACACCCGCACCAACGACCCAGCTCCGATGCGCTTACCTGTAAGCAAAACCAGCATTAGAACAAGCTCCGCGAAGTCCACCTGTTAAGGACCCCTCCAGATGCTTCGAGGTTGCAGCGACGGGCGGTATGAACGTCCTTGCGAGCTTCGAATGAATCCCAGCAGGTGGCGTTGCATGAGACCCGTCATGTCCGTCCCTAGTTTGCTCTTTTTGATGCGGAGGGTTCGAGAGTGACCTTCATGGCGTGGCGTGCGAATGCAGCCTCCAAGTGCCGTTACCTCGAAGCCGCAGGTGCAATTTCCCTGGAGGCCGAGCTCGCTTCGCGTTTTGACCAGCGCTCGTGTTGAGTTCGTTGCAAGTGCCGAAATTATCTGGTGGGTTTACTGATATTCCGACGGAGTGAGCGAGCGATGGATGAGATGGGGTGCGGGATGTGGGTATGTGGATGGCCTGGTGGTCCCTAGAGAGAAGTGATGTCGCCAGCTGACCTCCTTTGTATTGCATGTCATCAACTGTCCATGATACCCTCCACTTTTTTGTGAACTGTCTGGACTGGCTCACCCGGCTCATCACAATTGCCTCCTTCCTTCGCATTTACTCCCTCTCTCGAGCACAAATTAGACTACCACGAGCTTGTGATCATTCCATTGCTGGACATTGCTTCTGGCACACCCCATTCTGAGCTTTGATTACCCCCTAAGACCGAATCTCGTCCGCATTTAGATTTTCTAACTTAACGCTCGTGTTCGTGTTCGTGTTCGTGTTTTAATTTTTCAGTATTGTTGCTCGACGTGCTGAAGTTTGCACATTACCAGAGGTAGTGTGGCGAGGAACAAGTTTTGTGGTGTGTGTGTTTCTTGGGTACCCATTTTGAGCTGCTGATAGTGAGAGTTTGTCAAGGCAAATTTTTGAGTGCTCTTGGGATTACACCACACTCGAGCTTTTGAAGTTAAGGAATTCTTTCGTGTTGGAGTTCCGGGAAAGAGAGGAACGGGATACAACCTTGTTGGTAAGGTATTCATCAGCAGACACAATAGTTTTCACGTTGCTGGAAGAAAAAATTCGAAACATGGTAAGGACTAGGCCTTCTGGCGAAGCGTTCGGCAGCAACCGCCGATCGCCTACGCTGATGAGGCGCCGACGAGAAGAAATTAACGCCGCAAGAGATGCTGCGAGTAGTCAGTCTTCTGAGGAGGATACATCCCCATCGAGATCTCTCAGCAGTTCTCCCACACACAGGTGAATCACCTTACCACGAGGCTCCTTTCATCTCGGCAAAACTCCGCATATTCTTCATTTGCTTTGCTGCTAGCTCCCTGCCAACGAAGTAACGACCAATACTTTAGCTTAATTGTCTTCCTCCAGCAATGGCTTGCCTCTAGCTGGTGATGAGTGAGTCTTACATCACAAAAGTTGGAATTAGGGGAGCTGTTCATTTTCCCTTGTTTGTGCTAAAGATTTCAAAAGTGTGTGTTTCAGAGGCATCGTAATCACATTGGGTTTAAGACTAAAACTCGATGAGGCTGAATTCGGCTGTACTAGGGTTGAGAGACGATAAACTGTTCTGGTGCTGGATATGTCTCTTGTAGTGAGAATACTACATAGAACCAGGAGTAGAAAGGTGCATGTCTGCGTTTTGAGACATTTAGTACATTTAGGTGTTTACATTGTACTACCAAATCTTTGTCAGTTTTGGTGACTTGTAGTCTTCACTTGTTGATGCAGGGGTGGCATTGAAGGTTTTTCCGGTCCCGCAGAAGTCACAGTAGAGAAAAAGGTATCTTCTCTTTCCTTGAAATTTTCCTGCTGCAGATGCGAGAGCAGTTTTCTGAAATCTCACCATTGGTCACAACTCATTGACTTGAAGCAACTGTTGTTGAGTAGTTTAAGTTTTCCTGCCTTCTACTTTTATTCGAGTGACTGATGATTTGACGTATGAACGTATTGACAGAATGGGTTCTTCGAGATTAAGGGCAACATGTTCATGCCTGTCGATCCCGACATTACATATGGAATTCTGACGGATTTCGAAAGGAACCCTGATATCTTCAAGACTGTGTCGAAGGTTGAAGTTGAGCACAACAACGAAGGGAAATTCGTGACTCAACACGCACACTGGAATTTGATGTTTTTGTCGGGGACATTTGATATGAAAATGAAAGTTGAAGAAGATCCTAGTAGAAAGGCGGTATCTTATAAATTGTGAGTTCTATCGTCCCGCTCTTTACGCTGCGCAATAATTTTTGTCATCAACTTATGAACCTTGTGAGCTCTTTTATCATTTTTTTCGCTAATACTTTTTCTTTGATCGTGGTTGTAGGAATGAACCTGGATTTCTGAAAATGTTCAATGGCTACTGGGACGTCGAACCTCGAATGGTCAATGGCAAGTCGATGGGCTGCAATGTGGTGGTTACACAGGAAGTTTTGCCTTCAACGCTCCCACCTGGCCCATTATGTATTGTTCATTCCTACTGCATTCCTAGTCAGAGCTACCAGCTTGACTAAACGAACTCTAATTGTTTCTGAAAGTTACTTGTAATGATCGTACAGCAACTTAAAGGAATGTGAAACTGATTCTGGAAAAGTAACGTAAAATGTTTTTTTGGAATGACTGTCTTTGTAGAAGGCATGAAATCTAATGTTCCTGGTGTCGAATGTTTTGTGCAGCTTCATATGTATCACGCATATTAGGCAATCAGGTGAAAGAAGTGCTCCACGATTTATCTGTGGAAGCTGTGAAGAAGCAGCAGAGTAGACAGATCTCAGCACAATGAGTATCACATAAAGAAGTTGCAATGAGCTGTGTATATGTAACTATATGTCAAATGAGCGAGACTCCGAACCATTAGCACCTGGTAAAGTTTGGTTTTCAAATTTGTCGAACATTCCTAATCATGATTTCAGTGAAGCAAAAAAAATTCATTGTAATCGTAGGAACGATAGGTTAATTTAGATACAGAATCTTGTATGCATGTAAAAGCAAATAATTGCAATTTTGTGATACACACGCCAATACTTTTCGGCTCATATTGCATTTAAACTTCACGATCTGAATGAGTGACAGCTCCTTTGTACTTGGTTTTGAAATCTGCTCACAAACTCATCCAACAGTAAAGTGATTATAAGGAAATTCCTTTCAGTTGGAATGGGCAAAAAATGGAAAACACTAGTGTTTGTAAAACAGTAGGATAGAAGTATACAGTGTCAACTCAGTTTATCATAAATGACAATTACGGAACAGTCTAGTAAGATTTTGTTTGTCGAATTGAGACTCCCCGATAACCATTAATTTTGTAATTTTTTCATTCTTCGTAAACATTTGGTGAATTGTATTATCAATGAATATTAGTAAACATGCAAATATATGATTATCATCTACATTATGATCAGATATAATATGAAAACATGTACCTTTTAAAAGCCTGTAGGTACTTATCCTACACATATTGCAGTACCTCTTCTATCCTTACGCTTTTTAACAAATCTCCACATTCTCCGAACCGATACTTCTACAAAAATATCTTGTGTTCTGAATCATTGGCTGTTGCAACAATCGATGTTGCAGAAGCAGCTTTTCGAGCTGCTTACCATATAGAAAAATCCTCATCTACAATCTGATGTGTGAAAAAAAGAATCTCACTGCATTGCAGAAGCTGAATATGGTTCTTCAGAGAGATGCGGTGATATTCAATGGAATTGCTCAAAGCAGCTGACAGTCGCACTGGAAATATGGAGCAAAACGATCACATTTGATTGTTCCTGGATACCATTGCTGGATACCATTGTCTTGTATGCATAAAGCAGTACAAAGCATCATATCTGTCAATATAGGATGGAAATTCTCTCAAGACTTTCATTTTGAGGCATTTGTGGAAAGAGAAATCGATCTCACTTCCGTCCGTTCTAACCAACCAAAAGCACTTCACATCTTGAAAACCTGGAGCTAGATCTACCTGCCATACCATTCCCATATAAGATCGTCAGATTTCATATATAAGGCAAGTAATCAAACAAACTTCGAAATGTAAATCTTTTGTTCATCGTGCGCTAAATTCATCTAGTGAACAGTTGACCTAAGATACACATGACACCCGATGGTTGTTAAAGGACAGTTTGTAACCTTGATATAATCAACACCACATCCAACTTTCTTTTTATACATCGGGTGATAAGCAAGCACAGCCCTAACCGCCTTATCATCTTCGTCAGATAATCTTTCTCCAAGTCCGTATTCACTGCAAATTTGGTAGATCAGTCTTACAATGAGTGTCCTCAAACTGAACGTAAAAATCATTCAAAGCACCAACATAGCTTGCAGTGAGGAACCCAAACTGATGCATATTTGTTCATGAATCTGCCTCATGGTAGAAAACAGTCAGTACAAATGCACTTACGCTTTGAACAAGATTCCCCGCATGGATTTCACGAGGTCGTCAATCTCCTTGAGCTGTGGCTCAACTTCCAACGAACCCATAACATTAATTTTCGAACTACCTCCCGACATGGTGCCTGTACTTGAAATGACAAGACAGAAGGGTTGATCGAGCGTTCCAACAATTGAGAGAGGAAACTGAAACTGAAATTAAAAATAACTTTATGGCTTATTGCATGTTCATATGTCAATCATCAATCTTCGCTTCCAGTTTCCACCTCTGCAATAGATTAGTGCAAATATTACTACATTGTGATCAGCTTTAGAGTTGCGATGCATACAACTACATATCTGCATGTGGATCAATTGCTGAAAGCCTTCACAGTCAAGCATGAGTCGTCATAATTACGAACCTAGGGCAGTTTTTTGGTCTGGAGATTGAAGTAGAGCGCTGTGACCTTGATCATCAGGCTCACTCCGATTTCCATCAGGTTTGTGTAGGTTAGTTGTGTCGTCATCCTGTTCCTGCGGCAAACCACTGCCTGATGCTGTTGTGGTCTGTGCCTGAAACTTGCCAAATTGGGGCCGTTCTCTAAGACTGGCACCTGACAAAGTTATACTTGTCGTGGGACCCAAGTCCTTTCCAAAACTCCCACATTCCCGATCACTACCGCCGCCACGAAAGGTCCAGAGATACTGAAACGTAAGATACTGAAACGTAAATGGCCATCACTCACGCGCAAACCAACACTCTCATACAGCGCGCTGGCCACAAACTGCCGAAGTCTCACGGCAAAGAGTGCAGAGAAATGCCGATACCAACAAATAGAGATTGTATTAAGAAATCACACCTATTTCCAGCGGGCGTAAAAGCTTGGCATCCCACGACGTGAGGCAGCGAAACGTGCCATTGTGTGCGCTTCAATGATAAGCTCTCATGCGCGCTTACGCCGCCTATTTCACCAAGACCATTCACACAACATCAGAAAATATTATCCATTAGTGTGAGCATAGAGTGAAACGGAGCCAATAGAGACTCCAAAAACCCTTACTCCCAAAGGATTCGCAACTCTCATCTCCTTCTGCATCCCAATTTGAGCTCCTTAAAGAAAGACATCATATCATAAATTTTACAACAACGTGTATGTCGGACAGTAGCGACGCAACCAAGGACATGTCCAGGGTGGTAAATACGTCATACTATCACCACAAGGAGTCCTAACCTCTGGAAATCCTATCGCAACTCTCAGCGTATCCCCTGCAATCCACCTTCAACCTCGCCCATCTCTCTCAAGAACCACCTCTCACATATCGTCCTCGTCACACCCACGAGCCCAGCCACCCACCTCGCAAAGACGGCAAGGTAGACGCAGCCCACGATGCCGAGTAGTGGAGAGCGGGAGCTATAGGGGACGCCATATCCACTGAGCAGAGGCACTGCTGCTGCGGAGCTCCAAAGGTCCCAATGACGCCGCTATGTCGCAAGACTCAGACTAATTCTCAAAACCCACAAATATCCGGCTATGCTTTTCGTAGCAGTAGCAGAGAATCTGGGCGGAGGAGCGAGATTGAACCCTGAGGCGGCGATGGTTGGCGAATTGCAGTTTACTCAACAAGGCCCGCAGTCCCTCTTCCCTCCCACACAGAAGACAAACGACGCCAGTGATGAGGCTAGGTTCGAGTTCTGGTTCGGGTTGCCGAACCTATCCATTTCCGAGCCTCGCCTTCGGCATCGTAAAATTAGTAGCTACCTATGTGAGAAGATATGATGGTATATGCCACTTTTAAATATATATTTTATACCTGGAGGTTATGCCATTTTTTATGATTTGGATGTGGATTTAGATTTTTCTTTAAAAATCGAGTTGGATCCGATTGGATCTTTAATAGAAGATCACACTTTCTCATAGCAAAAATGACAACAAAATGTATGTAAAAAATAAAAATCTATTTGTGATGATTCATTTTTGTACATATTTTAGAATCATTGGCACTAGTATTTTAAACATTTGGATTATGAAAATCTAACCATAAACGTTTTGTGAAAGAAATTGCAAATTTGAACAAACCAGTTTTAAGATTGTATTTGATTATGATTTGAAAATTTGAACAAAAAAATGAGAATAATTACGAGAAGATTATTTGAGAGGAATTGCTTTACTTCAATTCTATTTTTTGAAACCTTCACTATTTAGATCATTGACATTGACAGGTGAGTAAAATTAAAAAACTCTAAATATATTGCATTGAATAATGCAATTGCAAAGTTACATACAATATTTAAAGTCAAACAAGCACATAAATATTATAATTTTGTACACTACAAGAAACACATACAACTATATGTTTAAAATTATATCCATGATGTAGAAAAAGATAATATTTTATCTTACAAATGGTAGGTGGTTTTAGATCAATTATTGCTAAACGCTCAATATCTTTTTTATGGTTTATGCAATGTATTATGCCTCATATAACAATATGAGTTTGTTAATTATTAACAATCCTCTAATTATTGTATGAATATATATGTATATATATATATATATATATACCAAACCTAATATTTGGACTTGACATCATCAATTAGATGAAAAATAGTTTCTAAAAATTACCTGAAAAAACCTCGAGTAAAGTCACTTACTCAAATAAATTATGTCCAAAGCATCACACAAATACGCCACATCAGCAAACTGAAACATAGTGTGATCCGACGTGTGCAGCCCTTCAAACAACGATTGATGAGAGTGAGTGAGTGAGCGAGTGAAGGACTTGAGCAAGCCTTCTGGTCGGCTGAATCCGTATGTATTCAGAACCACCATGTACGAGTGTAAAATACGTGAAACATTGGTAGAGATACGACCAGTGAAAACCATGGAAACGTTCACTAGTGTGCTAAAGAGAGGGTAGGGGAACCCTCATACCATATAATACGGGTAACCGTATAATTATGTTGGCGGAAGTCTACGAATGGCAGGGCACGGGGCTACAGCTCCTAGTTGGAGTCCCAGCGTCGTCGTCGACGACCTCCGTGAACACCTACACGATTTGGGGAGCAATTGGGATGCGATGCATGCGATTCGAAGCTGAAATGAGGTCATCACTGTGACGTTGGTTATGAAATTCGCGAATTTTTGATATGCCGGATGTGTGGGATTGTTTTCGGCATCGAATTTTAGGGGGTAGGAGTCGCGAAGGCATCGAGATTTCGGAAGTTCCATAGATGTCGTGAAAGAATTCGTCGCTGGCATCTGGTGCCGTTTGTGGTGTTCGGGTCGTTTTAGCCCGTCAGCCCGACTGCGAGTTTGATTGCCCAGGTATGTGGACAATTTCGACAATTTTTGCTACTCTAGGGTTTCGTAGGTGGGGTTTGTGTTGCTTCGGAAATTTGCTACCATCTCTTGGAAATTTCGTGGTTGAAATCTCGTCTTTGCAGTTGGATGGATGGCTGTAGTGACGGATTGTAGCGGGTTTCTTCCGAATTGTGAAGTGGTCTTTGTTGGATGTCGGGGTTTTGGGGAAAGATTAGCCTATGATTATCTCCGATGTGTGGGCAGCCGGATGACCCTCCTGCTCTTGTTTGTGCTATCCATTGTGTCTGTAGCTAGCTGTGTTATTAGTGTTTCTCATGTCCTAGTCATGGTTCTGCACTGCAAGCCTCGATAGTGTGCATTATTTATTTATTTATTTATTTTCCCCTTTCCTTTCCTTTTTCCTATTTTATTCGTAGAATAAATCTGTTGTTGTTATTATTATTATTATTATTATTATTATTATTATGATTATTATTATCATCATTTTTAGTTTTTCCCCTGGATATGATGATTTTCTCATGAGAATGGAAGTTTCTTGGTCCCAAACTACCAAAGAACACCTTGGCAGCAATGTGGAAGTGTGCCTTGATTTTAGTCTGTACTATGGACGTTAGATTGGTGTGTTAGGATTGTGTGGATGCATTAGTTGTTTACCCGAGGTTTATGAGAAGGCAGCGATGTCTGCTTCGCGAAACCTTGTGGATGTAAGTTTTTTAGAAGGTTCATATTATCTACAAGACTGCATTGTAGTGGCACTGTTACGATGGTATTTTTCATCTTTCATGTACTTGGGAACGGTCTCCACCACATTGGATTTATCTCCTTTCTGGTTATTTTCCTGTCATCATACTGGCTGCTTTATTGTGGTTCTAAAAGCTCATTAACACGCTTAGCAAAAGATATAAACTCTTGTCATCAAGCCTATAATCGCATTAGACCTCACCGGATAAGCTCTGTGGAAATTACTGGGATTTTCCTATGTGGTTGTTCGCTGTTTGCTGTCTGCTGAAGGAGTGTAATGCGTACTGATTTGGTGCATGGAGCTTTTTGCACTAGGTTGTGAAGTCGTGATAAAGTTTGAATTAATTGTCTAGGCTGAGCGCGTTACGTACTGTGAGAATGTTTGTTATGCGTGTGAACAAATGTCTCTATGTAAGCGAGGTCTACTTTACTTTTCATCCTACAGTGTGTGTATGCTGTGCTTGGAGAATCGCTTTTCATGGTTGCGAGTGTTTTCTGTGTGCAACCTGCTGGCGTGTGGGTGTTTGTCATGACCATTCACCACGGTGCAGGTTCAGAGATTATACTGTGTTGGAGGTGAGCACAAGAAGTTTCTGTCATGTCACGGAGCAGGGAAGAAGAGGATAGAAAAAAAATGCATGATTGTAAAGCAGGACCCTGGACGTGCATCGGGGTTTGAGAATTCAGTCAATGCAGAACCAGGTCCCATGGGAGCAGGAGCTGATATTGCAGCCACCATAGAAGACATTGAATCCTCTCCACGCGGCGCTGCAATTGAGAAAGCTCAAGCTGAACTCAGGTTTCGAAATTTGGCTTTATGTTGTTTCTGGGAAGTCTGCTGAAGTCGTGGCCATTTCTGGCTGTTTTGTCCTCCCCTGTGATTTTGACTGCATGACAAGTTGTGAATCAGTTTTGGGATTGATGAAACAGTGTTTGCATTTTTGGGTTCATTCAGGCGGGATCTTGCTGTCCGGGAGGAGCGCAGAAGGGAGTTAGAGTTTTTAGAGAAGGTGGTTTGCTTGGCACTCGTTTGTGCGTGTATGTCATAAGCTTGAAGCCTTGTAGTCTTTATTGTATGTTTCACCACATCAAATTTGACGATGTACAATTTCGAGGAAAGGAATATATGTCGAGCTTTGTAGACTTCCAGCTATTTTGGGTTCGATCTCATGTATGAGTGTAAATATGTAGTTGCAGAACTGTGGTGGATCTTTGTTTTTGTGGTTTAGTTTGAATGGTTCTATTCTCTCTCTTCATACGTTTGGAAGAGGACCTGATGTTTGCGGTGTGCTTCCACGTTGATTGTAGGGAGGAGAGATTTTGGATTTTAAGTTTGGTGAAGCTCCCTTGGACGGCTTTTCGACCTTGTCTCCAACACAGCCACCTTCTTACCCGGCGTCGTCTCTGAAGAGGTGAAAGTTGTGTTATTCATTTGATCTTTCTGGTACCGTGTTGATTCTTGGTTTCTATTCAAATCATTGTTCGATATCTCTCTTGATCTCAATCCTGTTCCTTGGTCAAGGAGGTGCCCAAGTGCATTCTCACGACCTCTTAACTACTGTAGCATATTGTGCCCTGTGTGTAGATGTTTGGTTTTGTTGAGTTATGATTTGTCGGTGTACTCGATTTCGATGCTAGTTGGGCACATTGTATAAGATCACAGTGTCTGGACAGCATCCAAAGCTGACCATGATTGAGATGCAAGCTTGACTTTCCCTTTCGATGTGGAATTGTCGCACTTTTTTTGGCGAGTATTTGATTCGGCGGTGATAGATACGACTGGTAACTCTTGTTGAAATTGCATACCTTATCATTGGTGAGGCTTGATAATGCCCAGGAACGGAAAGGATTTTCGATCAGTGTGGAATTGAGTTCTTGAAATACAGCGTCCTTTCTGGTAAGAGTGTTGACGATTGCTTTGTGCTGGTTGGCAGCGATGGAGAGGCCGATGCGGTCGCCAATGGTGATTCGTGTAAGTTGAGCAAAGGATTGATTGAAGGAGGGGTAGTGGAGGAAATAAATGACATTTCAGTAGCGTTGGTTCCAGGCGTCCAAGAAGGCGTTGTTGAATATTGTGGAGGCTTGGGCTTATTAGACACGAGCGTAGGAAATTCGACTAAGTCATTGAATGAGCCTCTTTCAGAACCGGACGTTGGTATTGGGTATGGCGTCCACGCAAGACCCAAGGCTGAAGCTCATGTGAGCGGTGACAGGGCTCTTTGTCAAGGGGTTGGAAATGGCCATGCATTGCCAAAAGAGGTGGAGGAGGTGCCGGCCGGTGAGGTAGTGCAGTTGGAGGGCACGGTAAGCAGTGACAATAAGGAGAATGAACCTTCAGTAGCCATGAGTTACCAAGTTTTGCCGCAGCAGAGCTCATATGCTCTCTCAAGCAAGTGGGTTGGATTGACTGGTAGTCAGGAGTATGAGCCTATGAACGAGATCATAGCAAGATGCGGGCCGGTTTTGGAGCAGCACGCAAGTGAACTGAGCTCCAGGGACAGAGCTCCAGTTCCTCCTGTGAAGACTGTACAGTCATCCGGTGGTCGAGTTGGTTCTCTTGGTGGGGTTACGGACAGGGATTCCGACAATAAATGTCTGGCTAGCGCAGGTTGTTCCGACGAGCCGGCAGACAGGTTAGGGACTCATGAACAGACGGTCGTCGCCGGGGAGAGGCACGACAGTGGTGCAGTTGCTGCTCAGGTGGAAAGTGCTGCAGCTGAAGACGTGGACACGAATCTCATTGGGATCGTTGAAGATGATGTAGGATCCGTCGAGCAGTTGATGGAGAAACAAGACAAGGTGGATTCTACGTTATGTTCCTCAGGAGCGGATATTGGCAGGGTGCTCGGCTCAGCAGAAATCTCACGGGAACCATTAGTAGTTGTTGTTCCTGAGAACCACAGCTTCGAGGCACGGAGTGGGCATGGGATGCTAGAGTCTCGCAGTGAGAGTGTTGCAGATGGTTCGAGCGGTGCGCCAGCGCACAGAAATGCAAGAACATTGAAGAGTACTTCAAGAGGAGGTAGCAACTTGAAGGTGACTCACAGAGAGAGGGCAGGAGTGGACACGAAGAAGGGTACCGGTCATCATTTGATGTTAAATTTGGAGGGAGGGGTGGTGGAGGACAGGATCAAACAGCTTTCTCCGGAGGCGGAGCCAGGTGGTAGAGAAACCAATGGTGCTGAATCTCAGGAATTGAGAACGGGGGGTCAATCGGGTGCGGCAGTAGGTGGTGCTTCAAGACTCATTGGACGGTCGGGAAGTATTTCTGGTGCACCAAATGGGAAGTATTCAGGTATGGTTCTGCCGTTGCAGAAGGGACAAGATTCAGGAGTACAAACTGAAGTGGACAGAATTAACGTGGAGCATAGAGAAAAATTGGCCATTAAGGCTCACGAAGACTTCATTCTCGAAAAGGCTGAGCACCTCCAGGTAGTTGAGACATCTTGGAATGCCATTACACCTGTGCGAAATCCTTTGTAAAGTGTGTCGTGATTACGGTTTATTTGTAGGTTTTAATGCGACGGTTGTGACCCGGATGTACAGGCGAAAAGGAAGCTAATCGAGGAGCGGAGGACTTTTAAGAAGTTTGCGGAGCCTTCAAGGCGAAAGTCGCATTGGGATTTTGTGCTGGAAGAAATGAAATGGATGGCCAACGACTTCTGGCAGGTACTCGGTTACTGAAACAACAACAACCATGCGTAGCAGCAAGTTCGTTTCGTTAGGAGACGGTTTTTGAGTTCCTGTTGAATGCACTTACTTCTTCATTCTGTTCATGTTTTCGGTTTTCGTAGCGTTGCAGATTATACTTTTACAATTAGCGTGAATGTTTTTGATGTATTGACATGTAGTGGGCTTGCTTAAAGTGTAGTGTGTGGGTATATTATGACTCTAATGTGGTGGGTGACTCGTTCAGGAGAGGACGTGGAAAAGGTATCAGGCTGCTTATGTTTGTCTGGAAATTGCTACGAAAAAAGGGGAAGATAAGTTTTTGGCAGCAGGATTAATTGGGGAGCACCGCAGAATCTCGAGCATTTTGGCACGCGCTGTGACGGATTTCTGGTATATTGCAGAAGCGGCAGTTAAGAAGGAAAAATGTGATGCCAAATGTTTGACAAAAGAGCAATATAATAGAAGCACAAGCAAGAGCGAAGTTGTCCCAATGGATATTCCTGTTTCGAAAGAGGTAAAGTCGTTCGAAGTTTATCAGTTCATGTCTCTTTGCAAGTCCAGTATTAGGGACTCGTATTAGTGCAGTCGTGCTACTTGTTTCCGGTAATATTTTCTCATAGGAGGGGAGCTATATTTCCGCCTGAGTAATGTAACATTGTCTTAAATCTGGTGTTTTTCATTTTCCGTGATCAGACTTTAGAGAAGTCGGTGCGTGCTGAGAAAGTCGTTAAGAAACAGCCTAGCGGAGTACAGAAGTATGCTATTCAACTGTTGAAAGAAACAGGCTCTGCCAGGATTTGGCAAGCCAAGGCCCCTTCGATGCCCGAGGGTTATCGATTAAGCAATAGCATTCTGGAGCAAGTTCATGAGGTACATGTACTATCTTACTACGATAAACGAGTATGGTGTGGTGGCTTGTTGTGACTAAGGGGATTTATGATTTGGATTTTGTTGCGCGTATTGCTAGGTTCTATTTGTGGTATAGCCACGTTTGTGTAGCAGGAAGAATTAGATTTGGTGCGTGTTTGTTGAATATCCTTGTGGTGTGGCGATAGGAAAACAAATAGCTTGGGAGGCTCATTGCTTGAATGCGAATGGTTTGTTTGCAGTCATTCGTAGGCAAAACTGTGCTAACTCTTTCAGAACGGCATCAGGTATCCCTGTTTTACAAGGTACCTATTGGAGCAATGGAAGCATATCGAGCCGTAGTGGAGGCCGAACACGCTAGGTCCGAAGAGGTATGGAATGATGGTGGTGAACGATTGCAAATGTAGTTTGATGGATGTTTAGTTGAACGAAGTAGAAGTAGTTTGTGTGTTCTCCGACGACGCGTGAGAATACATATTTGTACTTGTGCACGAGTATGAAAAGAGGCATACAGTTGCAATTGCGGAGGCGGAGGCTCTGGTTGCCGCGGAATTAGCTGAAGATGCAAGTAATGTAGCGGATGTGAGTTTCGGAGACTTCTCGAATGGTGGAGGTTCACAGGAAGCCGAACCTGCAATGTTCATGAATGAGGGGTCTCGCATATCGAAGAAGAAGCGGAAGAAGATAATCAAAACCGGCAGTATTGGCTTAAGAGGCGAAGGAAGTGGGTTACAAGGTACGAATTTGCGCGTTTGTGATCGGATGGAAGTATTGCTAAGATTTTATGTGTAATTAGTGGTTCGTAATGGCTTTATTAAGAATAGAAGTTTGGAATTACTAGTCCTCTTTGAGCGAAGTTATTAGTCGTTTTGAGCTTGAGCTTCTTGTTCGTGGATTGTTGGTAGTTATAAGGGATTTCTTTTTGGTCGTCAGGTGTGGTGAGTTCAGAGTTGGGCATACCTTCGCCCCTTGTAACCGGAAAGCGATCCATTACGGGAGGTTTGGGACCGAACGGTTTACCTGGGGGCATCCCTGTGAAGCGTCAACGATCATCGGCAACAAATTCACGAGCACGTTGCGCACAACCTAATACTTCTCCAGGTAATTCCCATTTTTGTGATGTGTTGATCTTTTGCAGCATTGTGGTAAACGCGATGGGTATGTATGTTTACAATCTCGAGGTTAGCAATGGTATCTGCTGCGGATTTGCTGGATCGACGAACGCTCTTTTTTTGGATTACTTTACTCAGAGTAATCGTACCTTTCCCATGTACATGTGTAGGTGCAGGTGTAGTTGTGGCACAGAAGGGATTTGGTTCTCAATCTCAGTCAGATGATAGGTTGGACTTGCTGGATGATTTCAGCCAACGTGATGTTAGTAGCGATACTCCTAGTAGCAAAGCGGCTGGGGTGGACGTTAAAAGGAGAAAGAAAAGCATCAAGTCTTTTGATGGCGGGATGGGTGCAGGCACGTCGGTGAAGGTAATATATAAAGACACTCTTGTGTAAGCTAGTGGTAGTTCAGTGTTGGGTGATTGTAATCATGGAATGGTGAATTTTTTTGTATGCGAGAGGTGTTTTGGTGCACGTGCTGAAGCAAATGGGCGTTGTTGACATTTCAGGAATGGGACGGGAGTGCCCAGGAACTTCGGCAGGAGCAGGTGAGCGAATGTGGTGGGGTGGCAGATGTTTATTGGTGGTCTTTTTGTTGTCGAATGGACAAGTGGTGTTGCATGCATAAGATGCATATATTTGTTTCGTTGAGCATTGGCAGTGAAATTGGGAATGGGGTAATTGGTCTATACATGGTATGGTAAGACGTGAACTGTAGAATTGTTGCATGCTCGTAATGTGATTTTATTGGGATTCATGTGAGATCATTGTGCATCACATATCAGAATCCCTCCTCATTCCAAATCTGTTTCTTGTATACTTGGTTTTTGCAGGTGAAACGTAAAGCGGGTAATCATTTGGTAGTCATTGGTGGATCTGATGCAGGCCTGGGTAAGTTGGCGCCTGGTTGTGAACATATTGCGTGATGTTTGGACGAGGTGATGTGTTGTGTTTGGTGTTCTGTAAGCTGTCAAGTTATTCGCTACGGTTTTCTGCCGATTAGAATGTTTGCAACCTTGCAGTGTGCCTGCATGTGGTGGTGCATATGCCAATAGAGTTGGGCTAACATAGCAGCAATGGTTACAGCAGATACGCCAGTGGCGTCGGGGTCTCAGGGTGTGTCTGATCAGCAAAATTCAAAGAAGCAGAAGCCTCTGAGGCCGTCGGAGGCAAACTCCGAGGCAGCCCTTACATCTGGTTTGCTTAATGGGCAAGATGTGGGCTTTGTAGTGGGAGCAAATAAGTTAACGAGGCTTATCGGCGCTCGAGACAGTCATCGGAGAGTCCGGCTGAATAAGGTAAAGTTTGTGCTGATTGGTAATGATAGACGGATGGTTATTGTAGGTATCATTTTCTTTTTTTGAGTTGTTATTGTTCGTGGTGTATGAAGACTTGCTAGTGTAAAGTTGAGTCGTATTTGCTAGAAGACCTAGGTTGTGGTGTAAATGAATATACGCTAACCTTCCTGTTGCTATTAAATGTTAAGAATTCGATATCTTTTTTTTTTAATACGTAAACTTTGGAGTGTGTGGTGGAAAACTGGAGTTAGCAAGGTTGTTTTGTTTGTAGACGTAAAAAGAAAGTACTGTTCAAGCTGAAGTTTGAATGCAAATGTTTGCGACATTGGAAGTTATCCAGGTCAAGTTTGTGGATAGCGTAGTTGATGTTGACTTTGGATATTGCAATCGGTTGGTTTGCAGGATCCTCCTAGTACGCCGATGCGAGTAGGTATTCCTTGGTCAGCTGGCGAAGATCAAGTATGTTTTACTAGGCCAGCTTTGATATTGATTGTTTGAAGGAATTGAACTGTTAGCATATTGATGATCGTGAAAAGTCGAAATATTTTCAATGGGATTATGGTATGGTTGCGTCAATTGAGTAGGCTAGGTGGGTAGGCAAGTTGTGGAGAAGGCAACGCAGGGGGGCTGCAAGTTGACATTCTTTATACATTCACTTAACTTTGTGCATATTGTAGTTTATATCTTCTGCGTGGATCTGATTGTGGGATGGTGCAAATAGCTAATTGTTTGAGGCGTCTTGCAGGCTATTCTTGCTCTCGTTCACGACTTAGGTCCTAATTGGGATCTCGTTAGTGACGTTTTGAGTTCGAATTCGCAAATAAAGGTTTATAATTTTTCCCCGGTCCTTGTAGCTTGGCCAATTATGTGGGTGCCTGCAAGTTTTGAAAGATGCTGCATATGGATGTCAAATGAGGCAGTGGTTATTCAACAGATTATGGCCTAATAATCTTATTATGATATCAGTATTGGACATGTTTATATGTTTCTCTAGTGCATCAAAGCTGGGCGTCTCATTATTGTGTGTGGTGGTTTAGGGCATCTGCCGCAAACCTCAGCAGTGCAAAGAGAGGCACCTAGCATTGATGGAGAGAGGTGGTGCAGAGGGGTTGGAGAATCTGGAAGATCCGTACTCATCGCAGGTTGAGATTGTTTGAGTAAATGTCATGCATGCTCTGAAGTATTGACTTGTGAAGTAATTATTAGCGTGTACGCATTGTTTGACCTTTGGATTGTCTCGAAATAGCGACTGTTTGGCGCACTGGCTATGATTCCATTATATGTGAACATTGAGAGTGTCCCTGTTCTTATGATGGAAGTCGCAATTGAGTGTTACAGGGTATCGTTCGGGGCCCGCGGAGTCTTAATGCAGCTGAAGAAGATATTCTCAAGCACTTCGAGCAAATTGTTGTAATTGTGCAAAAGTATGGTGCACGGAAAACTCCGGTGAAGACTTAAATCACTGCTCTTGAAGATTTTATAGTGTAGTCTTTCATCGAGGAGCTTTTCTTCGAGATTAGTGTGAACCCTAGATTAAATGCTAGAGTATTTTGAGATACGATGATCGCGTTACTGCAATTGATCCTGTATGGTTGTTGATCGGTGACCCGGTGACTATTGTTTCTCACTAGCTCCTGATGCGGTGTTTGTGTGGCTCCTACAGAATGAGTGTAAAGATCAAAAGGACTTGCAAGCTTCACATCCTTCTCACGGAATCGTTATCTCTCAGTTCTGTTCTGGCAGCGGTGGTCCTCCAAAGTAAGTATAGCAAACTTGGTGGGTCAGTTCTGACGGTGCCAGTTGGAATTAGGTTACAAGTGACGCACGAGATTGTGTGTTTTGGTGCGTCTGAATGTTTCTGAATTCCATGATGTAACGTTTCTGTAGCAAGTCAACCTTGTGGAATATGCAAGTATAGTGTGCGGAGGGTGTAGTTGTGGACGTTTGTGTGTAGGGATGAATAGACAACAGCTGGTGTATGCCTTGTATGATGTACGTACATGTATGTTCAACAAGAGTCTGAGATGCAATAGCATTTATTGGATGGCAGTCCCGTGCAATTGGCTGACCGGGTGACGAGTACTGGCGATGGTGGTGTTCACCCGCACCCACCACAGGGTTCTCTGAGAAGTATGGCGGGGCCTCAAATCACTGGGCCAATGCCTGGGCAGGGGATGAGGTCCCCAGCTGGTGGACTCTCTCACCCCCCTGCGTTGCAAGGCACAGATGGTTCGCATCTAGGAGGATTTTCTGCGTCTCCTGCTGCCATGAGCGCTGCAACTGCCAGGTAATGGCCTACTTCTTGATTTGTGTTTTGAGTAGGTACTCATCTTGTACTATTCTGTTTGTGGCAATTGTGATAATGGTGATATCATTGTTTATGTAGGAGTCGGTGGACTTGACTTGGATATGGTTCTGCATGAGTTTTTGGTATCGTTCGTTGGTTCGTCCAAGGCGTAGAAGTGGTCATTTCTGGATTGGGTTTGTTTTTCACATGTGCTTGAAAAGTTGGTCATCCGGTGGCATGCAAAGCAGCGAGTTTCACAAGTTGTATATGAAGACATTAATATGCGAGTTTCATCAGTCCAAGGGTTTCATGGTGCAGAGATAGTCAGAGGTTCCCTATGGGCACTATGAACCTTCCGAGCGAAGAAGTTGCGAGGTTGCAAATGTCAACGAGCAAACTAACGGAGTTCAACCCGCGGCGACTACAACAGCAAGCTGTTCCAGCTGCATCAGGAGTGCCTGTGCTTGGGGGGTTGTCAAATTCGAATGTTCTTCCCTCGTTACCTAATAGCACGGGTGGAGGAATGCTTGCTGCACCGAACCGTGGTGGATTGTCCCTTCCAAGAACAGGCATGGGAGGCATGGGGCCACCGTTGGTTTCGAACATGGGCACAGCGAGTCCGAACGGCAGGCATCCTCTGTCACCGAACCACGCGGCATCCAATATGTCGAGGAGAATCGCGCACTTGATGAATTTGGCACGGGTGAGAAACTTTCTGCACAGCGTGCCTAGTTGGCGACAATAGCAGAGTATAGCAGTTAAGGAAATGTTTTAGTTTGCTTTACGCATATTGGTAGAGGTTTTAGTAGTGGTGCATTGATTGTTAGTTGAGGCCGTGCGTTGGTTGTATTAGTTGTAGCCTCGTTGCAGCGTGGAGCGGTGATGCATTGGCCTTTGTATTTTGTCAACGTGATTGAATATGGGCGATATTGAACGTGGAGACGATCGTGGATTGTTGAGGTTTGTTAAGACTGGTATATGCTGGGAGATGTGAGTGGAATAAGAGGTTGAGAAGCTTTAAATGATGAGAAACAGAGATGATTTTACAGAATTGCACGGAGGAGCAGCAGCGGACGCAGTGCCTTCAACAGCTTCAGACATTGGCTAACCAGGGCGAAGGACAAGCCGTTTCTGCTTTATCGAGCCTGATGGGGGGCGGTGATATGACGAATGCAGCTGACGGGTCAAACCAGGTGATTGTCATATTTAACATTGTGAGCCTGCTCAGTTTGAACAGTTGGATAAAGAAATTTCTGGGATGTGTGAAGGATAAGTATTGTTTGTTTTACAAGAAAGTTTGGGTCTCAAAAATCCCATTTTTATTTCGAGAAATATCATTTGTGAACTTGAGTAGCCAGTAGAGTATTAATGAGTGGGTTCAATTTTAAGGTTTTTTTTTAATGGCTGGCATAGGTTTGGTTGAACCTGGGTTCGAGTGGAGATGTTGTAGGTCCAATTTTGCATACAAAGGATAGCGGAGAAGCGAAGTAGAGAGTGAGTAAGAGAACTGGTGTATGAGCGGTTCAATAGTAATACTAAAAGAAATGTAGCACTTTATTGAAGTGAGTATTCTAAAATGAAAGCTTGATTTGGTTGGTGGTTTTAAATCGAGTTGAGCACATGAGTTGAGATCAAAATATCTTGACTAGGTCGTTTGGGCCTGTACCCTAATGCGAACCTCTTGGGTTCAATTTCCATCTTCTGGGTCGATAGTATCTCTTGATTGGGGAGTTTTCTTGGACCAGGCTCCTGAAAATACTTTAAATTATCGGATCTCTTTTAGGTTAGATGAATCTGTGATGAAGTTGTAAAGATGCATAATACACATGTGTGCCATTGTAACGAATGTTTGGACTACAACTGTCACAGTCGTTTGTACAACAACACCAGCATTCGCTTCAGCAGCATCAAGAACATCATCAACAATTACAACTGCACCTCCAGCATATGAATAACTCGTGCAAATTACACGCACAAATTCAGCAACAAAATCAACAAGTAAGGACATGCATCGCTCGTGTGCCTTTGATGCAAGGTGGTGGAGTCCTTGGAGGATCAGCTGCCTGATACTTGGAAACATGGTCAATGGTAAAAATTTGTATATATATTTGATGGGCTGAATTTGAATGCTTTCGAACTGAATGTTACTCTTGTATCGTCATGGTTTGTAGGTGCCAGGACCCTCGCAAGCTTACATTGCAGTGCCAACTCGCATGAGAGAGCAGCAACAGCAAAGGCAACAGCACCAGAAGCAAAGGCTACTTGGAGGTCTTCCAGCTAATTCACAAGGTCAACATATGGTGGTTCCTCCCCTTCAACTGCCGATGCCAAGCTTCCCAACTCAAAATTTGAATTCACAGTCCCACATCCTTCCTTCACAGGCACACAGTAGTCTAAAACCCCACATACTGCAGCAAGTTAGCGGTTCTCCCCTTATGCCCCAAGTTGTAGGGTCGCCAGGCCCGCAGTCATCTCCAGCTTCTTCAGGTGGATTAGGGCAGCTGAATGAGCCCGTCGCACAGACCGCTCCAAGTGGCACTGGGGGCAAGACCCCTCAGGCAAAACAGATACCTAAGATAGCACAGCCGACATCTCAGCAAGCTGTACAGCAGCAGGGTTTGAGGAATGGGAAGGGTGGGAGTAGAGGAGCGATGTTGATGCAGGGCGTCTCTTCACAGACTGGACCAGGGCAAGCTAGCACTTCATCTGGCAATGCGAACGGTCAGTTGGAAGGTGAACCAGATAGGCATGTGCTAGCAGGACAAAGAGGAGTAGGTCAATCTCAAGACCTAGCTGCGAAGGTGGCGAGTGGATGTCAAGCAAGCGTGCCAGGAGGTTCCCAGGGCGGTCTTGATGTTCAAGCACATGGAATGCAATCAGCAAATGTATCGTCCGTGGCGGGACAGCAAAAGGGGTACCAACATGTCCAACAGGCTGCGCAGGTGCGCTCGAGGTTGCTATGATAAGTCGTTGAGCATATTGTCTTCTTGTTACTCATTTGAGAAAATATTGTGCCGGGTGCATATTTAGTTTTTGAAATTAAGGTATCTTGGGATTCACGAAGGCACTGTAATGCTGATGTCAGGGAGGAATGCGCAAGTCACAACAGGGAAGTCCGTCCCAAGCTGGTGAGCAAGCTAGTGGACAGCAAGCTTGTTCAGGCCCGACTTCAAGCCAGCAAGCTGTATCGGCAGCATCTTCGGGCGCTGGAACTCAGCAGTCTCCGCAGTTGCATCGTCGACAGGTTGCGCAGGCGGCAGGGCCTACTCGAAGGTGAGTGATGTTGGGGTTTGATGATGGTGAATTATGTTGAAAAAGGGTCAAATTGGCAGTTGGCCTGAATGTTTTTTCAATTGGCACTCATAGGGACACCGGTTGAATTGAAACGTGAGTAAATGAGCACGTGATTACCTCGGGCGAATACGCGTAGGAGTTGCAGCGTACAATGAAGCAGCTCATGACGCTGTTTGTTTATTCCTCCAGTGCGGTTTGCTCTTTCGGATGTGAACAGGTCTTTTGAGATGGTTTCAAAGCAACTAGGTAGATCCACTTCCAGTATCGGTATTGATCGCATGAGAAAAATTTCCACCTGATCTCAGGATCCTAAGTGTTGTATTTAATTTTTGATTGTTATAAAATGTGCAGTTGTGTACCGAAGGCATTTGAATCCACCAGTTGATCTTTGTGTTTGCTTAGGTAGATGTTGAGCGTATTCATTTTGTTTGCTTGTGTGCAGGTTGCATATGCGACATCCTGGGAGCAGTGTAGGTGTGCCCATTGCGAGTCAGCTTGTCAAAACAGGTGCGCAGCAGATAGGACATGCCGGTCCACAGATGGCATCGCAGGCGGGGCAGAATCCATATCAGGTAGGTGGAACGATTGCCATGGGAACGAATAATTCGAACTTGCATGGCGTAGGCCTTCCCTCTTCTGTGAACTCGAGGATAGGTGAAGCACAGGGCAAGCATTGGAAAGCCAACCAGACACTACGTCCTTCGGGAGGAACGTACAATTTGATACGGACTAACAGTCCAGGAGCTGGTCAAGTTCCAGCAATGGCAAATTCAGGCATACAGTCGAACAGAAACATTGGTATGTCATCGTCGGCTGCTTCTGCTATCCAAGGTGTGGGTTTAGGAAACATGGGACATGGAATGGGTGAGGTTCAAGGCTACCCAGGGTTGGTGAGTCCAAAAGTAGGAGCTGGTCCGGGGGTGAACGAGAGGGGCCTTTCAGGATCACAGGTAGGATTTGTGGGTGCTCTAAGAAATCCGGCAAGCAGTTCGTTAAGTGTTTCTTCTGGAGTAGCTAGCACACCAAGCAGTCATGTGAGACCTTCCGCTGGCTCCTCGGTGATGGCACCGCCAACAAGTTCAAGTATTGTTGGTACTTCTCCAGTCGGAGCTGCAACCGGGACTCATCAAGGCGTGTCTGCATCCATGTCTGGTCCGACAACAAACAATGGGCAGGTATGTATGAATGTTTCAACAAACCTGTGGACAGAATGAAGTAGAATTGGAGGAACTGTGCGAGGCATGGTTTAGGTACATGAATTTGTGACATTGAAGTCGCACGTAGACTGATGATCGAAACATGTGGCACTGTACAGTTGCGGCAGTGGCATGGAGGGCTAGCGGCCTCGTCATCGTCTAGTCTGGCAGGCTCATCTGAAATGGCTGGCGCTTCAGGTAGAAGTGGAAGTGGAAGCACGAACTCTGCCAGCGATGTCTTGGGTTCTGGAGTCAATCAGGGTCCTTTCCCTCTATCAGCAGAGGCAGCGGCAGGATCTTCTTGATAGGGTTCGTACTTCGGAGGCTTTTTGTCATGCTCAAATTGAGTGTGTTCCACGATTTTTAGAGTTCACAACTCTTGTGGGTGGATGTAGTGGTGAGCCCGTCTGCCAGAACCCGGAAGCACAGGTTTAGGGTTGAGTTTTAGGATGCTGTGGAGGTCACTATTCATGATGTATGGTGCGGACTTGGACGAATGAAAGTCCTACTCTGCCCAGTTTGTACATTCTCGTGCCCAGAGTAGTGGTAGCACCTGCGAATTGACATAATGTAACAAAACGTCCTGTTTCAAAATCAAAAGTTCAGAATTTTTTCCATTACTGGTGCAGCTCCGATTGATATGCTTGTTACCAGGTTTTGCATAGTGATTTGAATTTGAACCTTGATTAGAATGTGATGACAAAAAAAGACATGGTCTTCCACTTATAATCCTTATTTTCCACTCTCCCTATTCAACCGACAAATTTTCAACACATAGCTACCTCTTGACACCCTACATATCTGACTTCTATCTGAAACCACGAGTAAACCACGAATTTGGAAGAGAGACTAAAAATTCACGAACAATTTGATTGAGAATCGCAGTCTAGGCACTAATTATTCGTTCCTCTGCCCTAATCCACCAGGAACTAACTTCGTTTTACTACGGCAACACGATTTCCCAGACGAACGTTGAGAAGAACGAGAGTAATCTTACACTGGAGACGTTTGACGATACAACCGAGATGCTAGATGAAGCGACGATGAGATGAACGAGGAAGCTGGATCTGAGCGAACAGAAAGAGGACGCGGGCATGAAAATTTCGGCGACGATCATGGGACATCACCAATTTTGATTTCCCGCCTTTTAGTCGACTTCGCTCCTTTAAACCAGCCCTAAGGCTTTTGAAAATCGGCTCACGGTTTGGTACTGGATCCGCACAGTCCACTCCGCGCGAGAGCTCAATCCCGTGAATTTGACCACCATCGTTACATAGTGTGCAGAGGTCCCAAACAAGAGTTTATGGTGGAAGAGTCTGACTCGCTCTTGCTGGTGATCCAAGCGTGAAGCATCTCTGCTTCTGAATTGGCCGTGATTGTGAACAAACGAGTTGTTTCCTGTGAATGTGTGGGTTTATGAGGTAGGCTGGGTTTGAAGCTAACGGTTCTGCTGCGGTTGATCAGTGGTGGTAGAATTCGGCGATGTCTTGTCTTTTGAGACGATGTGGGATCTCGGTTGCTGTTTTGTGCCCAATAAGTACCTTAGTATTTCCTTGTCTTGAAGACGCGGAGCCGATGAAATGGATACAGTTGGAATGCGGGTTGGGAGGTACTGTTGATCGATCTTTTAGTGCATGGTTGTGCGTAATATTTTTCTTTGACGTTGTGCTAACGTCCCGTATTGTAATTGATGCAGTTGAAGGCGGCGGAATCCATTAGCACCTGTGCGGAACCGTTCACCTAATTTACTATCGTTCGTTCAATTGTTGGCCGTGGTCACCATTCTCGAAAATTAGTCTTTTTCCTTCACGCGTAGGTTAATCAGTTCCAGATTCAAAAATAAGATTGAATTGGCGCAGCTCTGCCTCGTTTGTTTGGTGAGTTGATGACTATCCTCTGTTCGGGGTACATGAAGTCCCGATGGGCGCAAAATTTCAGCTCGATTTCTTACAGTACATACAACAGAGTATTTAGGTGATCATGCATGAGCAGAAAATACCTACCAAACTAGCTGGATGGGTGCAGTAGATGGAAAGCTGGAAAACAAAATATCTGATGGAATTCCACATCTGTAGCAGTTTTCGGAATCTGTGTTTTATGTGGTCGTAGAATTTTTATGGGACCACAGGGCATGACTGTTGAGCAAGCAGCTCTTCAAATCCCCTCACTGTTCCTGTTGAAAAAGACTTAGTTTTGAGTTTTTAGTCTATCCATCTCCTTTGCAGACTAATTTGATGTACAAACGCAAGAGGTGCCAAGAGGTAATCCCAATAGATTCATTGCTGCCTACATCCAAGACTCCTGGCAATGAATGCAGTTGTGGATTAATCGCTGCGCTATTGGAGCAACATCCAGATGTGAATTAGTTGACCCGTTCAGTATTTGGGCAATCATCTTTCTGTCGTCTTTTTATTTATTTTTTCATTATCTGAGCTCGTGTTTTGTCATGGATAATGGCCACCTACATCAGACATTTGATTACTCACTTATTTCATTTCATTTTTATTTATTTATTTATTTTAATTTTTGCAGAAACCTGAGTTTGGCAGAAAATCAATTCGAATGAACAGTTAAGATCACAATTTGATGTAATTTTGTTTGCATCCTACCGTGAATCAAGTTTAACTGGACTCAAGTATCAATCCGGTCCCGAAATCATGGCTACCCCCTGCGAGCCGTCAGTCAGCGTGGCGTCACTAGCTCCTGGAGTGATCTCCGGCCGAAGTTTCATGAGAAGGCCCGGAAGGCAACGCTGGGTGCCTTCTGGAATTTTAGTAAAAGCTGACGAAGTAGTTGTACCAGTGGCTCCTCCTCCTCAGTATCAGGTCAGCCAGCTGCTATACTTTACATTAAAAGTGTTTCACGGGAAGCACTACAAAGATTCCTTACGTCTCTATTGAAGCACGATATGTAATTTGGTAAATGTTGAGATCTAGAATGAAACATAACATGAGTGGTACATGTTCAGAAGAAAGTAGTGTTGGAGGCGCGTGAGGATCTTGAAGAGAAGGAGGCGCTTTTGCCAGAGGGCACTCCGTTATTATCGGTTTCAGGTGTAGAGCTGCCGGAGAGTGCAGTTGGACCTGCTTTGGAGTTTCTTGAATTCTGCTCTGCGTTCTACAAAGTGTGTGTTCTGTTTCACATCGATTCACTATACGGATCTTTCTTCACTTCTCGCTATTTGAGAATTGTTATATAACAGTATTGGACATCTTAATGGCAGGAATTTTGGAATTTGATTACATTGGTGGGTGAGTGAGTGAGCGCTTGTTTACACCTGCCGTTGAGTATACTCCTCTATGTTGCTCATGGATCTCTGCGATTTTTGCAGCCCCTTGGAATGAAGAAATCAGAGGCAGAGAAGTCATTGCACGAGGTCGTTAAAGGATGCAACTTGAAGAAAGGAAGTCAATGTCAAGTTGTGCAAGTCTTTGTGCGTCTGTTATCAGTGGTACTGTATGGGACTGATGAAGAGTAAGTGCCTTCATTCATGCAAGACGCGTGCTACTCTCCCTCTTTATATGTAAAATTGCGATTCATTTATCTTCTTTACGAAATCATCATATATTTATTCGGAGGCAACTGTTCTTTCCTGTGCATGGAAGTCTGATTTCATAGTTTGGAGTTGAACAGGTGTAATGTTGCATCCGGTTACAAGAGCAAGAATTCATGGCTGGAAGTTCTAAAAAAGTACTTGTACAAGAAATCTCACCCTGATCCGAAGGGTCTTCAATCAAGGAACGCAGAAGGAGAAGAAATTAAAGTCAAGGAAACTGAAGGTGAGGAGAGTGAAGTCAAGGACGCAGAAGCTGTATGCTCCTTCAAACCTTCTCCAACACTGTCACATTCAGTAGCATCTCCTTCTAATTCAACCCTCTCTCCTATTCAAGAATCAGTGCACAAGTTTGCTGCAGCGCTTGAGAGCGGAGCGGATGGTTTTGAATCCCTTTCTATTGAGGAAAAGCTGCAACTTCTCAATCTGCTTTGCAACGATGTTCTCGGCACTGCGTATGAGTTATTCTTACCCACACAGGACTTGAGATTTCATGTCTGTTTTCTACCACATGGATTTTCTACGTGTACTATCCTGTCTGGTCAATGGCTTTGTTTTGTAGTGTCATTTCGTTTCATGCCATTTCATAGGTGCACGATGACCTCTTCAACTCTCCAAAAGGTCTAGGAGTATGATCGTTTCTAATGATATGATTGGACTTGTCTACCAATCATAAAGCAGCATAATTTATGTCACCATAACTGAGATCCAGTTACCGAATCTTCTTCCTTCCTCCCTTTCTTCCTTCCTTTCTTCTTCTTCTTCATCTTCTTCTTCTCCTTTTTCTGTTCTTGTTATTTGTTTGTTTGTTTTTAATGCACCTGGAGAACAACTGGTTTGCTCTTTTTGAAGCTTGAAAGTTGTTGGTTACAAAGATATGGAAACATCCGCTTCCACATTTTAGACAAGTTGCGACTCCAGCTGCTTCATTAAACTATTTGGCGCTTGTTATTCGTACGCAGGGTACTAAGAGGACATATTGAGAGAGTGATGTTTGAGTACAATGAGACGAGGAAGGAAGAGAAGGAGAAGTCCAAGTCCGCGAAGAAAAAGGTACTTGCATTTTCATTTCAAATTTGCACTAGAACTACCTGGAACTTGTTTGGAACTGATTTTTTGTAGTTTCTTTTGGCTGCACCATGCAATGTTATTGATTTCTTAAGAATTTTGCCTCATATTTATTGCATGATATTCTCTCTGCAGGTGAAACTGGACCTAGAAAACCTGAAGGAGAGCTTGTTGACAGGTGGGAAAAGTGAAGGTGCGCAGACATTGAAGCAACAATCTGAAAATATGTTAAAGCTGAGATCTAATGTGTTGAAAGGATCAACTGCAGAGACCAGCATTTCAAAGGGTCCTGGTACAGGTGTTGTCCTTGTACCTGCTTTCTTTGGTTATCTGTGATGAATCCCGATCAGTAAATTTCTGGTCTTAAGATCTTAATATAGACTTCCCAACCCACTCAAGTCATATCAGAAGTGCCTGTTGTATGTTGTATTTCATTCAAGAAATGATTAGGTTACTAATTTTTCGAAATGAATACCCCAGCAATATTTCGCGACTAAGTCCTGGTTATTTGAAGCAACCAAATCAGTGTTCTCGGTGTACATCACTGAAAATTTCATGATGTGTCTGCGATCAGAAGCTCTCAGGAGTGATGCAGTCAAGACCGAGCCAGTAGTTTGGGACGGACCACGTGCAGTCTGGAAACTGAAGGGAGGAAACGATCGTACAGACGTAACCCTTCAAGGTAAGTTGGTATCACTGTCTTTGTTGTACCCAGGTTTGACATAGCTCTTTTATACCGAAGTGGTGCTCTTAAATGCTTAGACCATTTTCATCGGCAGAATCCAAGAATGGAAAAGAATACATCACTTGCAATCTGTACTTAGGGGTTGATGATGTTCCATCGATGTCTGAATATTTCCTGTTGCTGTGCATGAATTTTCTCAAATACTTACTTTTCCCCAAGCTCATGTTATACCGTTCTTGACCCACTCCAAGACTTATGATTTACTAGGGCATTAAATGCAAAACATTGTTGCAGTACTTACCTCATGTGTCGGGTATATCTTTTGCAATTCGCAACTTTGGAGTATTTGTATGAGTTCGCTTTTGTAGCAGTTTATTAAAATGGGTTCTGCAATTTCAGTTATAGCCGACATAGAAGGTATCCCGAAAGAAAAATGGACAGTGTACTCAGAGGCGGACAAGGAGGTTCTTGCAGTTTATCTTAATCAGAAAAAGAATGGTCGAAGAAGAGCGCGCAAGAGATATCAGCTGAAGACGATTGAAAGCCATCCAGTGATGTCAATAGATGCTGGAGCTGATGCTAAAGAAATACTCTCCGATGAAAGAGCACCGACCGATGGTGACCTTTGTATGTCTTCGTCATCTTCAGATGATAGTGGTTGTGACCAAGAGTCTGAACCTGAACCTGAACCTGAGTTTGAGGAATAAATCATTTTTGCTTCAGTCGGATATTTAGTGTTAGACTGCGAGAACCTTCATTGGCGAACAAATAGAGCCAAATTAAAACCGTGCCCCGTTCCTGAAGTCCCGAACTCGAGCTAATTTAAAACTCGAGTGGGCTTCCATCTTGAGTTGTCAAATTTGCAAGTCCTAAGCGGTAGCCAAATTTTGAGTGACGTTGAATATGCAGCATTATTACATCTCTTGGAAGAACAGAAGTTGTAAACCACCCACTAACAAAACGGACTCTGCGAACTCATGCGCGGAGGTGAAGCGCTGGATCTATCCTAACCGCAGTTCTAGAGCAAATTGAATGTGCTGCACAGCACATGTGCCTCTAAGAAGACAAGGACAAGTGATCAGATGTGAAGATATGTAATGGTTAGGTTCGATACACGAATTCTGGTGCGATTACCTTTACATTTAATAGATCCATTTTTTATGTGCTTTGAAATGCTTGGTCTTGCAAAATTCATTCCCGTTCCGTTTCTCAATACCATCGTAAACTCAAGCATCTAGTAGCAGAGTCTCAAAGGCACTCTCTTGCACGAAATGCACTACCATTTTCATTTCTATGAGCAAAATTGTTACGGATGCTCATACTGTGGATTCTACGTCCATCTATGGTTGCGTGCTGCTTGATTACATTCGTTCTATTGTTGCTTAAATTTCCTCTCGAGAGAGGATTCCTATGTTAGATACCCGACTATGGAATCCTTGTTTCCGAGGAAACCTAACAGCCACAATGCTTTAGATGCCATCTATGGTTGGGCAACGTCACTGGTAACTTTGCCAACAGCTAGACTTTAAGATTACTAAATGGACTTATACAGATCGCTACAGAGTTGCAGGTTCGCATCTGAGATGGCCAAGTTAGTTGTAGAGGAAGGTTGTTGGATTAAGTCAATCCGGATACATATAAGACAGGACAGATATAAAATAGTAACCAAGAATGATAGCTTTAACATGCTATGGTTGCACGACGCAGCCGACCGAAAGGGCGTAGAGCTGCTTTGATTTACCTCGACAAGGAGATTTATTACTTCAAAGAGAAAAATACAGACGTCTATTCATAGGTAAAATTATCCGCAAAATCCTACTTGTAGCAATTTATTACACCTGCGTGAAGACTGACAACGTATACATACAAACTTTTTTGATGAACGTGAAATTGTATACACAAGGTCATCATTGACCAGACAAAGAATCTGAATCAAAACCTTGCTAGGAGATTCTTCGTAGCTCTACAAAAAGGTAAAGAAAACTACCTTTTTTTATCCTAGAACCTCCTTTCAAATAGCTGTTACTATAACAAACTAATCACAAACCAATTACAACCTTGAAGGACCTATGACATATTAATGGATAATTCAAGTTTGTAGCTACGACTCCTGGAATGTAACAATCTCTCAAATCAACGCAATTCTAATCAACTCTTGGCGGTCTTTGAGTGCTTCACTAGCCAGTCGATCACGATGTCAATGTTAGTACAGTTTTTGCATGAAATGGTGTAGCATGCCACCTCCCTGTCGTTCAGTCCTGTTATGTCCCTGTGATCACACAGCCATCAACAAGCACGGACAAAGCCGAAAGAATCAAAAATTAGAAGAAATAACTATTCTGCTAGGATAAATCAGCAAATTGTGTCTACATTTTGAACTAAAAGCTTAAAGGTCTAGGAATGCTCCTAATCCGTCTCCTGCAAAGTATTTATCACTTGCAATCTGAGGATGAACTTACATTTGATCAATAAGAGCCTGCTTTGAGATAGCCTCAGGCTTGTCGATTTTGTTACCCAGCACAAGCAATGGAATACCATGAAGTGAAGGCTTATTCAGTAAATCGTGCAGCTCATTCCTGGAGATGGCGACGTTGTCTTTGTCTGCAGCATCAACCACGTAGCTGCCATGCAACCCAAATTAGAAAATCCTTTAGATACATAACCTGTTATCAGGTGATATATTCAAACATTTTAAGTTGTTCTGCGTATTGGAGAATTCAGGGTCAGAATGTCACGCTGCCTTCAAAAGATCGGTTGAAAGCATAAGGCGACCTGATCACTCATGAAGAAATTGTCAACAAAAAAAGAAGAAATAATGTTTGTGACATTACGGGAGGCACTTACACAATGGCCGACACTCCACGGCAGTAGCGCTCCCACATACTACGAAAGCGGGGTTGGCCACCCAAATCCCACAGTTTGATAGTAACATTGCCCTTCGACACTTTACGCATATTGAAACCGACCTGTACAGAGACCAGCAAAAGGAATCGCGTCAGCAGTTACAAAAGACATTGAAATTGCTAACAGACCAAACCACGTTTTGATTTGGCTGATGTACACAGGATCAGCGCATAATCCGTATCGTGAAACGCACCAAGTCTCCATACAGCGTACTGCTCTTACAACAATCATGAAAAGTGAACAATCAGACGCTTCTTGTACTATGCATTCTCAGATGCAGCAACATCCAAATAAGAGATTGAAGCACTTACGGTGGGAATCATATCTTCGCTATAACCACCAGTCTGCAAAAGGACAGCGATATAAATAAATAAATATTAAAAGAGCGAATATGTCAGCTAACAGTAGTAGTAAACATGCTATTCCTAATTGAGATTAAACCCTCCAACCTAAGTAACTGAACGGTGGATGGCCTAAGAGCTGATACTCAATCTACAAGCAATGGATGTTAGTGCAATTGTGCAATTAACTTCGATAGAGAATACCTCAGTATGGCAGTGGTCATCTGATTACAGTCTTACCAAGTCCACATATTCCAAGCAATAGGAATTACGTAAACAAGAATAAACACATCATGTTTCCTATTGTAAATAATCCGAACTGACCCTGACGGTCCACAACTTGTACAGCGTTTATAGGCATGCGCCATAGCTTGCTTGCGGAGGAGAAAATTACAGATACATACCGCAATAACATTGACAAGCGATGTTTTCCCAGCGTTCTGCAGACCTATCAGCGACAGCTCCATCTCTTGCTTGAAGAACAGGCTGCCGCACAATCTCTCTCCAATTAATCACACTAGCTCAAGAATTAGGAGATCAACCCAATCCATCAACATCACAGTAATTATAAATTGAAATCGTTTATATGAAACTGTAATAGTACCAGCCGGTAGCCTCATAAAGTCAAAACCCGAAAACGAACTCAAACAGATTTAGTCAGAGGATCCAAACCAGAAGCAATGAAATTGAAAAAGGTCACGTACCTGCGGAGCCAATTGAGGAACGAATCCCATATTCCCATCATCTTCGCAGTCCGCGACTTCTGCCCCAAATCCGAAGTAAAGCCCAATTCAAAAACAGACCCCCCACAATCTTTTCAAGTTGCAATACTACCAATCCTTGTCCCCAAGTCAAAACTCCTCGTAAGATCAATGAAAGCTGCGCCAAAAAATCCATTGCATGAAAGATCAATCACCACTCGAAAGCAGTACAACCCTAACCGGGTCCCCCTTTGTCAATGACAAACAACCACAGCATACAAGCGAAAATTCTCGCAAACCCTAACCCACTGCACGTCCACAAGGAAAATCCATTCAAAGCCCACCACCTCTAAAAAGACGCACACATTCCCAACCTTCTACCCAGACGAAATCGACCACGACATATCGAATCCAACACCTGCCGGACTCTCGGATCCTTCTCAAAAAAACAACTTCAAGCCTCAACCCTCTCTGTGAACGCTCACCAAACGTGAGTCGCAGTGAATTCTCAAAGAGAACATAAACAAGACCAACAACAAGAGGAGCGCACCGTGGAACTCTCCGAGCTGTCGATGCAGCAGCATGCGCAAGCCAATGCGAGCGGAAGCGAAGGAATGGACTCAATCACCCTGAGGCAAGCGTGGAAGGGGGATAGAACTGGCCGGCTTCACTCCACTTCGACATACCCGACCAGTTCGCAACATACCCCGGTTATAGAAAGTAGGGGAAATTCTTTTACGTGAGAAAATGGGCCATCTTTAAGAAATCTGGCTGTGATGTGGCCTTCTCGCAAGCCTGCCACACACGCCCTCGCACCACCGCAAGTGTTTCCTGTCAATTCTGCCAGTGCCGACGCCACCTTGCCAGCCGCCATCTATAATTGTACGTTCGTGCGCTGTGCCCACCGAGAATCAATCGACACGCAACTGACAATCTCAAAGCAGCGGAATTCCTCTTTCTTCCTACCGTTTAGCCGAGGTTGGGTTTCGCAGTGTCCATCACACAATCGTTCCAGAAATTCCTTGCATTTGGTGCAATTCGTGTTTGATGGGCCGGTACCTCACAGGGCACGCCACTGTGGTGAGTCCTCGGATCAGGAAGAGGTTTCAAGTCGTGTATAAATTGTTGTTGCAGTAGCTACAAGGTAGTGTCAGTTGTAAAGAGTGCGACACCGTGGCCGAGTTTTGGATGGTTTACAGACGGAGAGTTGGAAGCGGAAGGAGGAGAAACGGGCATGTCGTCAATTAAGTCGCATTTTGTGAGCCTCCATGGCACGGAGATCGATTGCGATGTAGAATTTCTGCTCTGCGTTATTTCGCACTGAGATGGGAGGATTGTGTGAGTTCGGGAAGATTAGCGAATTAGGGTATCAACTTCTCTGCTGTCATTCTAGCGGACGTGTGAACAGTGAGGGACTATTTGGACAGCACAGGAGGTCGAGAAAATGCGTCCAGCGTGAAGATGTGCAGACGTTGAATGAGTCGGATATTTACCATCGGATTACTCTCTTTTCATGGATGATCGTGGACCCGATTGGTAGACGATGGCAAATTTGGAAGGAGAATATTCTCGCGCCAACTTCCTATCATCGTTAGGGTTTCATAGTGGAGAGGTGGTTGTACACCTTGGTGGCAGGAATTCCGAAACCTGTCACAGGAATGCGATGACGTAGGGCGAAAAGCCGATTAATCGAAGGACTTCACTATCTGAGGACCTTAGCCTTAAGCCGCTCTCGGATACCATGGTTACAGACATCACAGCAGTGTTTTACATTTTGTGATACCCTTTTGAGAGCGTAGGAAAGAACACGGTGCGTCCATCATGGACTTATCCTCGACGCAGAGTTTCCGAAATTTTCAATGAAGCAGCCACGATTCTCTTAGACAAGTCACACCTGTGCATATTACTATTACGGAGTTTTTACTCCACGGCGTGCATTAATCTCACTAACAATACAACTTCCCTTGTCACGGGCTTGAACACTGAAAAAATCGTCAATTTGCACAATTTGATCATATTTCCTACTGATGGTAGTCACTAGAATGATGAGCAAATGTTAGCAAAAGCAGTCATGTTACTGCCTTCAATAAATAAAAACCAGTCTGGAGTTGCAGTATTAGTCACATGTAAATTCAAACAATGTTTTGGATCCCTGAAAGAAGGGTAAGATCTACGCTTGTCAAGGCAGCAACGCGATTCTAAAGCGACACTAGCGAGCCCAGGCAGCAAGCTACCAGACGGGGTAATGGTAACAATTGAAAATACTTTTGAAACAATTTAGAATTAACAGCCACGCTTCTATAGCAAATTCTTTTAGCCTACTAAAATCCTGAACTAGTTTACACGACTTCTTTCTCCAACCTTAGGATGGCCATAAAAGCGTCTTGAGGAACATCCACCCTGCCCAATGACTTCATGCGCTTCTTACCCTCAGCTTGCTTTTTCAGCAACTTCTTCTTCCGACTAATGTCTCCACCATAACATTTTGCAAGAACGTCTTTGCGCATGGCTGCAATATTCTCACTAGCAATCACCTTTGAGCCGATGCAGGCTTGGATTGGGATCTTGAACAGCTGACGGGGAATCAACTTCTTCAGTTGTTGAGTAAGTGCCCGGCCAACACTGTAAGCCTTATCCTGGTGCACAATGACCGCAAGGGGGTCGACAGCCTCATCATTAATCCTAATGTCGAGCTTCACCAACTTGCTTTCTCGATAACCCTTGACAGAGTACTCCATGCTTGCGTAGCCTTTGCTACGTGACTTCAGCTGATCAAAAAAGTCACCTACCATTTCTCCCAAGGGCAACATGTACACCAACGAAGCCCGGTTCTCTGTAATGAATTTCATTTCCTTGAACTCTCCACGCCTTTCTTGTGCTAGTTCCATCAAAGGACCTATATAGTCCTTCGGCGTGAGAAGCTCTATTCTTACGTATGGCTCCTCGATGGATTTGCGTTTTCCAGCATCTGGCAAAGCAGAAGGATTTGAACATTCAGTTATAGTGCCATCGGTGCAATGGACACGATACACCACACTGGGAGCAGTGGTGATGAGGTCGAGGCCGTACTCTCTTTCCAGTCTTTCCTGCACGATCTCCATGTGCAGGAGACCCAGAAACCCACATCGGAAACCAAAGCCCATCGCACTGGATGTCTCTGGCTCAAATTGCAGTGCTGCATCGTTTAACTGCAACTTTTCGAGGGCTTCTCGAAGCTCTACAAATTGATCTGCGTCGATGGGAAACAGCCCACAGAACACCATAGGAGTAGCCAACTGGTACCCAGGTAGAGCCTGGGCAGCTTTCCGAGAAACTGTAGTAATAGTATCCCCAACTCTTGCGTCAGCCACGGATTTGATGGATGCTGACAAGTAACCCACCTCACCAGCGTATAACTCATTCACTGGCATTTGAATAGGAGACAAAACTCCTACCTCGTCCACCTGATACTCGGTCTTGCTGTTCATGAACTGAACGTAGTCCCCTTTCTTCACCCTTCCATCCATCACTCTGAAGTACACGACAACTCCCCGATAGGAATCGTAGTAGGAATCGAATATCAATGCGCGAAGAGGCTCTGCGGCTGTGTCTTTCGGTGGGGGAATCTTCTTAACCACTGCGTTCAAGATCTCGGGAATTCCAACTCCCTCCTTTGCAGAACACAAAATGGCTTCACTACAATCCAAGCCTATTATCTCCTCAATCTCCCTCCGCACGCGCTCAGGGTCAGCCCCAGGAAGGTCGATCTTGTTGAGCACAGGGATAATTTCTAGGTTTGATTCGAGGGCTAAATACACGTTGGCTAAGGTTTGAGCTTCTACTCCTTGAGAAGCATCCACCACCAAGAGGGCACCTTCACAAGCTGCCAGAGACCTGGACACCTCATACGAGAAGTCCACATGGCCCGGAGTATCAATCAAATTCAGGCAGTAAGCCTCACCGGTTTCATCCACATAGCGCATACGAGCTGCTTGAAGCTTAATGGTAATACCCCTCTCTCGTTCAAGGTCCATGTTGTCGAGAAACTGCTCCTTCATTTCTCGCGCAAGAACGGTGCCAGTGGTCTGCAGCAACTTGTCGGCTAATGTTGATTTCCCATGATCAATATGTGCGATGATAGAAAAGTTTCTGATGTTCGAGATTGGAACTTTAGCTAATCGATCCTTCCCATTGTCCACACCTTTATTGGCAGCTTTCCCATTTTTAGAATAATCTTTCTCAGCATTTTCAGGTTTTGCTTCAAACGTCGCAGCCGCTCTTGCACCAAGCCTGGGATATTGGTCTTTCTCATCCAACCTAGAATCCCAATCTCTTCTCAGAGTAACCCTTTTCAGCAGTGAACGACCGGCCTCTAAATCATGTAAATACCTGCTTCCAGACCTGCTAATTGCGCTCCTACCTTGTCTCCTAACTACTCTTCCAGCGCATCGATAAGAAGTCGACGGATGCTGTCGAGGGTTGGTTTCAGTCGAACGTCGCGTTGAGATAATGGACCCATTAGCCGACTGCGAGATACAGGCTGGACTAGGAATGGTTGGAACTGCCATGGTGGCAGCACGTCTTGCCTGCGTAAATACAAACACGAAGTAACTACATTTCTTAATAAACAAATACACGTATTGCTGACACCGAAAAAGGGGGGGGGGGTAGGTTGAATTACAAACAGCAAAGACAATTTACGAAAATGTAATCCACGCGAACCACTATTTTTAAAAAAGCATCAGGTATCAGGAGGAGCAAGACAAGATTCGAGTCGCAGACAATGACATAATTCACATCTTAGCATAATCTTCTCGTGTTCTACATGACTCACTCAATACTCGAACAGCAGGATATTACGAAATTCTAACCACATGTGAAACTGCCTCCAATTAAGGATCTATATTATACTACGATTTCATCACTGCGAGCAACACACCTCCCACTAGGAACAGGGCAACTTCACAAACCATCTCCGGACTAGCATAATTATACTAAATTTGGCACAATCGTGAGGGTACACCGCAACCACATCGCTCCGCACTAATTCCCACTGTCACCTCCTCTATCCTCGAACCCGTGACGGATCATGAAAATTTTGAGCAGCCGTAGCAGAGCCACGACCCAACCAGAGATTCAACAAACATCCGTCCAACCCATCACCACTACACCCAAAAACACTAATGCCAGCATTTCCCAAACTCACCCAATTCCTACCCAATGCGAATTCCCGTGACCTTCCCCCAAAACCAGAAACCTATCAAAATCGCACCAATTCATCACAATACTCAGAGAGAAAACAAAACACGAAAGCGAGAAGGGACCCAGAGACCAAACCCAACTAAATGACGCCCGCCCAGCTGAAACCCAACGACGCTCAGCTCCACACACGCCAAGCTTGTCCACTACAGGCGTCGAAATGCACCTACATTCTGGCGCGGCAACCCACGCGGCACTTGAAACAGGAACGCAACAAGCGAGTGAAGAGAGAGGAGAGCATGAAGGAAGGCGACGAGCGTGGCTGCGCTGCTGGGTTAGCCCAGAACTGGCCACGCGATTGTGTGGTCGCCGTGGAACCTAACTTATCTCCCTTGGCGAGGAGCAGCGCCGCGTCGCGTCGCGGCCGAGCTCGCACTTGCTCGAGTCCCTCGCAAGTTCTAGATATCTATCCTCCTCACAACCTTTTTTTTATATTCTTGATATGAAAATAAGGTTGTGATTTTGTACAATTGTGTTTCGAAGGTTGTGTGATACCTTGAGAGTTCAACCCAAAGTTTATATTGTGGTTTTGAGGATAATTATGCTGACGAACTTATTTCTTCAACTTGTAATATGATTTGTTTCAGTAAATTATTATACTTGAGAAATGTTCATTTTAATACCAAACAAGGAATATAATGTAAAACATCCCCAAACAAGACATATCAAGATAAAACATCAATAAATCATTATAATCGAAACATATTTTTTATGTCATGATTTTTTAGCATATACCTTACTGAATTAAATATCTGTGGTGAAAGCTTATCATTAGTGGTGACGATAATTGATGATTAACTGTTCGTTTATATTATAATTTATTTCTAAATTACACATTTGATCACAAATATAGCACCGTTGCTTGCAAATTATACTGCTAATGCTTGCCAGAGATTATAAGTGATGTGATTTTTTGGCAACATAAGTGATTATCATTTTTTTCATTTCTACTTTGAAAACGGCCAGTCCATTCTATTTAACCATGTCCAAACCAATAGCATGTCATTCTATATATATAAAAACGTGTAATTGTTTGTAGGATATATTTTAAGTGCAAATTATCTACATAATTATTTCTATTTAGATTTAATAATCATTTTATTATGTTCAAAAACATCCTTATAGCCAAAATATATATATATATATATATATATATATATATATATATATATATGTTATTATTTCTTATGTTATCTTTGATAAAAGATTTATAGCAAAATTTCTTGTGTACTTATAATAGGTCATAGTCAATTTTAATAATTTCATATATGTTATGGATCATTATTTTCTTTTCTATACCATTAAATATTTATGACATTTTTTTTAAAATTTTAGGCACTCATGAAAATTGCAATTATGTTTGAGATTTGTTTCTAAATTGAGAATTCTGAATATTCATAAAATCATGTTTTATTGACAATTTTTTTTTTCTTTTAATTTATGATTGCTAAATTTTTTAATATTATACAGGCTTATGCAATTGCACTATATTTTTAATAAAATACTTTTAATTATACATAAAGATAAATCTAAAAAAGACCTTAAATTATTTTTCATAAAAATTAATTCTATGATTTTTGCATTAAAAAAAAATTAAGATAAAGTATTTTTATTATGTCTAAAATTATAAAAATAAATATTTTAAATTCAAATTTAAATTTAAAATACATGATCTTGTATAAGACAAGATCCTTATTACATAAGATTTTCAAGTAGTTGTCAAGGATATGAATCTCAAAGAAAGAAAATCCTCAATACACTCTTGTGTCACCAAAGAGAACTAGAAGGTCACTCAAAAGGTGATGTAATATTCAACTAGAATGGCTATTGCCAAAAAACAAAAGTCTAGAGAGTCTTGAAACAAGACTAAAGATTAGAAAGGCATTGACAAGAGTGAAGAAGGCTTCACTCTTACCTCCATATATACTCTTAACTAGGAGCTATGTGGTGATATTCTATAGGACCTCCAACATATGTTGACTTTGTTAGCCACATGTTTTAACTTGTAAGGCAAGTTATCTATGTATGAACTACATAGTTAGTTTGTTCCACAAGCTATTATATAGAATTAACTTGTTCTATAAGCTACCAACACGTAGTTAATTTGGCCAAGTTTCTAACCTACAAACACATCTAAAATCAAAATTGCATCTATGAAGCTTCTAGGAAGCTTTTCTAGAGAACTTTATAAAATTAATCTATATTTACCTACTTCTACTTAATCATATGAGTAACTATTGGAATAAATGTATATGTCCATGACATTACTCCCCTTTTTAGGAACAAGTTCCATGAAAAGTAGTCAATATCTTTCATGGATCTTGCAATTCTTTATCTTGGTTTTAATGGATGTTGTTGATGAAAGGCTTCAACTCTCTTTGCTACATTTGCAAGATTCTTTGATGGCTTCTATGTGTGTTTACGAATATCATATCCATGCCAATGAATAATATATTCCAACATTTTTGGCGGTGCCTTGAATCTAAGACTTTTTTCACCTTAAATTCTTGATTATTATTGACTTCTATAAAAGGAGATGGCATTTGTCTTCTTCTCAAGATATTTAATATTTTATACAGCTTAATAATGGACACGTAAAATACAAGATGCATCTTCATAGACTCTAGTAGATGTAATCAATAAGCAATAGATTTGATTTGTTTACAAATAAGAAAAAGTCTTAGTCTATAATAGTCCAACTTATCACAAAGACGAGTAGTCTTGATATTGCAACAAAATAATCATACCTTGTCACCTATATTGAATTGTGGTTGCTTCTTGTGATAGGCATCTGCATTGATTTTTTTTTTTATTCTTGAGCTTTTTATAATTGTGTCTTTATTTTTGCATGTAGCTCTAAGAAATGATTTGCTAAATCCACCACCATAGGATTATCGACTTTTGAAAAGTCAAAAGTATCAAGTTGTAGATGATAACCATAATTGATAAAGAAAGATATTTTTTGAGTAGAAGAATGTATCGAATTATTATAAGCAAACTCTACAAATAAAAAAAGAGTTTTTGAATCATCTTCATAATAGTTGATGGTATATCTCAAATATTTCTCTAGAATTTAATTCACCTATTCTATTTGCCTATCAATTTGAGGATGAAAAGTTGAAGAAAAATTTATATCCACCTTTAGAATTTTAAATAGGATTCTCTAAAATATTGATATAAATTGAGTATTCCTATCTGATATAATATCTTTTGGCAATCCATAATAGTAATATATATTGTCAATGAAAAGCTTAATTATTTCTTCACTTGAAATAGATTTTGTATATGGTATAAAATGTGCCATTTTGGTAAAGCAATGTACAATTACGAATATAGAGTCATATGAACTTGAACTTAGAAGATCTATAATAAAATCCATAGAAATAGAAGATCATGGTTGTTTAAATATAGGCAATGATTAGAGAAGTCCATAGAATCAATGCCAAGGAGTTTTTAATCTTAAACAAATGTCACATGAATGAACAAAGTCTTTTATCGTCTACCACATTTGTAGTCACCAAAAATCTCTAGATATAACTTTTAAAACCTTATTGTATCCAAAATGTCTTAGAATTGGAAAGTCATGACGTGCTTGAAGAACATGTAAATATGCTTCTTCTTTTGGAACATATAGGCATCCTTTGAAATAGAGAAATTTGTTCTTGAACTCAAACTTTGAAACATCATGAGACTTTGAAGAAAGATTCTTGATATCATGAATAAGAGGATCAGAGGATATACTTGATTGAATTTATTTGAAAAAGGTTGAATGAACAATCAATGTTAATTTCATTGCTTAAAGATGAAAATAATTTAGTTTCAAGGAGATTGTTCTTTGTTCATCAAAAGATATGTCACATTCTTTTGATGCAAGATAAGAGTGTCTAAAAGAGCATCTCATAAACCTTATTGTTTTCCAGGTTGATATGTAGTATTGAAATCAAATCTTAATAATGATATGCTCCAAGTGGTTTGGCAATGATTCAAAACATATATCAATATGAAATATTTGAAATTCTTGTGATGTGTATATATTATGACTAGACTTAAAGCACCTTCTAAATAATGATGCCATTCTTGAAATGAATCTATAATTAAAAGAAGTTCTTTGTCGTGGATCTCATAGTTAATCTCGACTAGTAAAAATTTCTTAGAAAGGAAAGCTACTAAATGGAGTTTGTCATTTATTCCAATTGGTGATAATATTGCACCCAAAGCAAAGTCTGATGCATTTGTTTCCATAAAGAATGCCTTAGAAAAGTCGACGCAATATAAAGTTGGTGCAAAATTAAATTTCTTCTTCAAAACAACAAATGATGCTTCAATTTCTTTATTCCACTCAAGTTTGTCTTTACAAGTCAAATATGTAAGTAGAGTTGCAACTTGATAAAAGTTCTTGATAAAGATTCGGTAATAATTCACAAAGCCCAAAAAGCATTATACATCTCTTATTGTACTTGGGATCTTCTAATCTATGATAATTTGGATTTTTTTTGGATCCAATATAAGGCCTTCATTAGAAATGATGTATCCCAAAAAGCCAACTTGAATAGTGTGGAATACACACTTTTCCAACTTCATGTATAATCTTGTATCTCTTAGTTTTTCTAACACACAACGAACAAGAACTTCATGCTCTTTTATATTCTTAGAATAGATTAAAATATCATTTAAATAATAGAGGATAAAATCATTAAGAAACTCACAAAAGATATCATTCAATAGATGTTGAAAAGTAGGTGATATATTTGTGAATCCAAAAGGCATGATATTATATTCAAAATTTCCATACCTAGTTTGAAAAGCAGTCTTCTATTCATTTCTTTCTTTGATGTGGACGAAGTTATATTCTCCTTCTAGATCTATTTTTGCATAGATATTTTCTTGATTTATTTAATCTAAAAGTCATCAAATCAAAAGTGGAAGATACCTATTCTTGATGGTAATTTTGTTAAGTTTTCAATAATCTACACACATCCACAAAAATCTCTCTTTTTTCTTCACAAATAAAATAGGAGCGTCAACTAGAGATTTAAAATGGCATTTGAACTTCTTAGCCAAGTTCTCATGAATATACTCTTTCAGTGCAATCAAATCATTTTATGATAGGCTATAGATTGGTCTAAATGGTGATTGAGTTCTTTTTTGAAGATCAATGGTACAATCATAAGGACAATGCTCCAAAAGAATATTTGCATTCTTCTTTTCAAAAATATCTTAGAAATCTTGATATTGAATAGGAATACCACTTGATATCTTCTCACCATGAACAATGGGTGCAGCATATGTAGCAAAAGATGACTCTTCATTTGCA